CCGGCCCAACTCCCCCCCCCCGCCGTGCGGACATCAGCAGCACCAGGAGAGGGTCCTGCTCGCCCCCACTGGCTTCCTCCCCTCACCCGATAGGCTGCATGTCCTGTGCCTCTAAATCCGTCCCTGCTTCCGGAAGGGCCAACTGACACAGTGTGGTTCAATAAGCATCTCAGGTGGGGGCATGTCACCTCTCCTAGGCCAGCACCTTGAGCCGGCTGGCCTTCAGGACCGTGGGCAGGCTCCCGGCTCAGCTTGTCCCCAGACACCATGGCCCGCGTCCAGCTGTGGGCTGACGGCCTCTCCTTCTGACCCACCTCCTGGTCCAGGGGCTGAACAGAGCGCTCCGGCCCCTCAGAGAGAGCTCCCCAGACCCAGTCGGCTCCGCCCCATTCCCTGAGTCTCAGGGCCGCAGAGACCTCTCCTGTCCCTCCACGTCCAAGGGCCGTCTCACCATGGGTTGCACATCTGTGCTTGAGAACCCCAGGAGGCCGCGAGCGCTTATTCCCGCCATTTCCCTCGGAGCAGGGGGAGCTGCCTCATGGAGCTTCTGACAGGGCTCCCACCCGTGGGCACCTCCAAGGTCATGTTCCTGAGACTCTGCTGCCCCCAGCACTCTCACAGGTGTCCACCAGCTTTCCCTGTGCTGAGCCTGCCCCAAACTGGGAAATAAGGCTGAGCTACGCAGGGAGGCTTCCTGGTGGAGGCTGGGCCCAGCACCCCTCAGAGCCCGCATGGGAAACTGAGGCTCAGAGATGGGACAGCCTCCCCAGAGCGCTGTTGGGGCTAGGGTGCCCCAGTGTGTCTGGGGTGCGGGTGGAAGCGTCTCTGGAGCACCCGGGAGCCTGACGGATCTGGGCTGGGTCTGGCAGATGGAAGCTGGCAGTGGCCTTCGTGAAGAGGCTCAGAGCCCCGGCCTCTCCTGCCGGCCCCCTCCCAAGCCCGAGGACTTCCTTGGGCTGGGAGCTGAGAAGGAGCTCCTGGGGGCTTAAAGCCTCGGGGAAGGGTGCCAAGGGACCCTCCAGAGGCGTGGTCGGCCGGGCTGGGTGAGCGAAGTGAAGAGCTCCCTGCCGCAGAGCCTCTGGGAAATCCACTTCACCTCACTCCCTTTGGGCAGTGAGCTTCAAAACTGGGATGCCTCTGAGGAAGCTGGAGGTGGAGGGGGCTCAGAGGGGCGGCCCCCACGAGTCTGCCCTCCAGACAGGCCCCGCCTCCCCCCCAGGACGCAAACCCCCACCCAGCATGGGCGCGGCAGTGGCCACAGATTTTGCTTCTGCGTTTCTGGTCGTCCAGTTCCCTCCCGCCCCCTGGGCAGGGGTCCCCCCATGCGGCTTCGAACTAGGCTGTGTCCGCAGTGTCTACATCGCCCTCCCGTTTGGGGGCTTATTTAGTGCCCAGTTTGGAGTTCTTGGGTCCAAGGGCACCAAGACTACTAGCCACCTCCAGGCGGGGCGGGGCAGGGAC